AGGCGCTTGCGCTGCTTCCTGATGGGCAAAACAGCTGGCCACACGGAGGGGGAACAGCTGGCCTGGGCCCAGCCTCCTGAGGACAGGCAGAGCCTCAGAGGAGGACGGCAGGGTCCTGGGAGGGCAGGGCCTGGCCGGGGAGGGGTGGTGCTCGGGGGGGAGCATGGCTTTGGGTGGGAGTCCAGAGATGAATGGGAGTGGGCAGATTCTTGGAGCCGAGGTAGGCTAGGTCTCAGCGGATGGGCAGGGTAACTTGGTGTCCAGTGGCTAGGATTTGGGGGTCTGTCTCCCCTCGAATAAGAAAGATGAGGGACAGGGCAGCAGGAGGGAATCATGGGAAGACGGGGATCTGCACTCAGCCCCGGGTCCTCTTGGGACCCACTTTAAGCTGAGGTGGGGACAGCCGGGACGGGCTCCTGGACGCCTCTTTGCCACGCTGCTGTCCCGAGCAGGACAGGGATCCGGCGCCCTGACCACAGAGCAGGACGAGCCCACAGAGCCCCCAACCCACAAGATGTGACGCTGGCAGCTGGTAAGAGCTCCATCCAAGCATCCTCTGAGCCGTGCCCCTCCCCTGCACCCCCCGGCTGGGTTGTCAGGTTATGAAGACCCCCCCACCCTAGACCTCTGCCTGGCTCTGGGGTTCCTCCAAGTCACCTCATGCATTGGCAGGAAGTGATACCTGAGACCTCAGGTGAGGGTGGGCAGGGTTGGCACAGGGTTAATGGGTGCGTGGTCAGTCTCCTGGGCTGGAGCACCTGCCGGACCCCCAAGTTCCACAGGCCAGGCACTCCCAATTTCTTCTCTTTCTGAGGGGATTCCTCTAACTCACCTCCCTAACCTAGGTAGAAGGGTTACTCCCACCTTGCTTGTGCTGGTCTCCGCCACCCATCCCTAATGAAGGTCACGCGCTTGCGCCTTGCCAGCAGACAGGCCTGGAGCCTAGGTCCCCAGGGGGCCGAGGCTCTGGGGAGGGGCCCTGCTAGGGTCTCTATTTGCCGAGGCCAGAGTGAAGCCTGAGGTGCTGGCGCCGCCGCCTGGCGGTGGCCGGAATTACAGTGGCTGAGCGCTGCTGGCGGCGCCGCTGGTGGGGGAGCCCGGAGCCTGGCTAGGAGCTGGTTCAGCGTGGTCTGCCTCTGGCTCTGCCAGACATGCCCACAACAACAGTGTTTCCAGGCATCCAAACGGCATGACCCAGAGAGTGAGACCTCAGTCCCCATACAACGGCACTGAACTCTCTGGAAGCCTGCTGGAAACCGAGGCTTGGCTCTGCTCCCAGCGTGATTGGGCAGGGTGGGAAGGGGTCTGACAATTTACATGGCTCCCAGCTTCCAGACAAGGCCCCTGCCAGCTGGTCAGGGACCAAGCTTTGAGAACCACCACTCTAGAGTTTCTGGAATTTGGCCCAATATCAGCTTTGTAGAGTATGTCTGATTGTGTTTGGGGGCCAAACATTTGGGGGCAAGTGATTGCGTCCAGGTACGTGGCGAGTCATGTCAGTCACTGCGCCGCCTTCCCACTGAGATCCGGCCGCGCCGGGGCTGCGGGGACAGTGGTGAAGAGAGGTGATGGGTCCTGACCTGGGCTTGCTCAGCCTGATCTCTGCACCTGGGAGTCTGGGGGCAGCTCTGAGTGAGGTGTGCAGAGCCTACCTGCGCCTGCTCGGGCTCCCACCCAGGGGCCAGCCCGCCGGGGGCCACCTGAGCTCGCTGCCTCCCACCCAGGCCTTCGGGCTGCAAGTCCCGGCTTCACGCAGCTCCGCTCACCCTGCACCCTCGCGCCTTGACCGGCCTTCTAAGCTGTGGCCAGAACCGTCTCTTAAGACAGAGCATGTCAGCGCTCCAGAGTCTTCCTGTTGCACACAAACGCCCCAACTCCTGCCGTGGCTTCGAGGCCGTCGGTGGGCCCCGCCTCACCCACCGCCCCTGCCCACTTCCCGCCATCCACAGGGGCCTCGTAGCTTGTTCTCGCTGCCGCTGCAGGATGTGCACTCCATCTGTTCCGTCCGGGTCGTTCTTGCCCCAGACCTTCCCAGGGCCAGCCCTGTTTGCTCTAAGGTGCCTCTATGCCATGTTGCCCCCCGCCCCCCGCCACAGTCTTTCGGGAACCTGCTTCACACCCTCCTCGCATTTTCTGTTCTTTGAACTACCTGTTCATTCATGTTGGCCTGCCTCCCCCAGCCCTCACCAGTGTGTGTGCCCTACAAGCATGCCTGATGCACGGCTTATGCTTAGAATATATTTGGGGACCGACTGGGCTTATCCAGGATGCTTGCAGGGGTGTGTCCTCACACATGACACAGAGGAAGGAAGTTTAAGCTGCTCCTGGAGGAGTTGGCCAGGAGGAGAAACACTAGCTCAAGCAGAGGAACAACAACCAATAAAAAAAGGATGTGGAAAAGTCCTAAACCATGGAATGTTCTGGAAACTGTATGTTGTTCAGTTTGGCTGCAACAGGAGATGGGGGAGGTCAGAGTATCTGGGGAAGCCTCAGGCAGGACCTGCCTCACTGCCTTGCTCTGAGAGGGCTTTGAACACTATGCCCAGGGCAGTGGGCAGCCCCCAAGGGTCTCTGCCTGGCGGGTTTGAAAGGGCTGCTGAGTGCTGACAGGTTTCCAGGGAGAAAGATAGGGTGGGGGTCCGGGAGGTACACTGAGCCAGGCAAGTGGCAGTATGAGAGCAGGAAGGCGGCCAGGTGTGGGAGGAGCTGGGGCAGTCTTGCCAGGAGAGGGACTGGTCGTCGGTGATGCCCAAGTCTCCAGCATGAGTTGCTGGGGGAAAGGGGTGCTCTCTTCTAGGAGTGGGGAGGCCAGCAGATGGGAGGCCACATTGGGGGGTTGAGGATCTGTTTTGGACAGATGGAATTTGGGTCCAGGTGGGCAGCTGAGACATACATGTCCGTTTTCCAGAAGGAGAGAGTGGTCCACGGCCAGCTACAGGAGAGAGCCCGCTGGGATGGGAAATGGCCTTGGGGGGAGTGGCCAAGAGGACTGGCCTTGGCTGGAGTGGCTTGGCGGAGCCGCCCTGGTGTGTGTCAGACCTTGACCGGAGGTGAGGAAGCCAGGCGAGCGAGCACAGACCCCAGGAAGAGGTTTGGGGGGGAGAGAGCAATGGGCTACCGCTGGGGGCTGGGGGCGTGGGGGAGGCTGAGTGTTTTTCTACTCTAAGTTGGGGGAACCTAAGTTCTTTGGCATGTGGAGGGGAGTATCCAGAAGAGAGGGGCTTGGCAAAGCAGAAGGGCGGGCTTGGGATTGGGAGCCCGGGGGGTTCCCAAGAGAGCGGGAGCAAGAGCTGCAGGAGCCCCAGCCTGGCCCCAGGCCAGGAGGCTATAGGGTTTTTCCATGTCTGGGTGAAGGGAGAAGCCAGCGCAAGGGGGTCAGTGACAGGGTGGGCTGGGGGGAGGGAGGAGGAGATGGGAGGGGTCATAGAAGGAGGAGGAGGCGTGAGGGAAGAGCGAAGCATCTGGAAGTCCTCTTGGAGAGGCGGATAGGGTGGGCAGAAGCTCTGGTCAGGGGAAGTGGGGACACTGCTGCCTTAGAGAGGGACCCCTCCCCTGGGCCTGGGAGTGTCTGCCAGCCAGAGGCTACCATGTCCACGATGGGGCTCCTGTCTCCCCCAAACACTCAATGGGCTGTCCGGCCTCACTCTGCAGGGCCAAGGCCGGGAAAGCACTCCATGTGGAAGCTGTGGGGCCCTGGGAGAAGCTTTGGAGCCAGGCTGGAGACGAGGACTCGGGATGGATGAACCCCCATGCTGCTCGTCACTAGGCAAGTTCATTCCTTGCTGGGCCCTTCCTGCGGTCCCTTGGCCTGCAGCACTGAAGGCAGAGGACACCAGCTCCCAGCGGCGGGGTGGCGGGCACTGTCTCCTCCCGCCTGACTGCCAGCCTGGGAGCTGGGAAGGGTCAACTGCATTCATTCTCACCGTGGGGAGGTAAGGCCCTGGGAAAGAGGGCATGGCGGAGGCAGATGCCAGCTGACCTGGATCCTACCTAAGCTGCCTCCAGGTCCCTCTCCTTTTCTGCCGGCTCACAGAGAGGGTGAAGACCCCTCAGCCCCTCATCAGGGGCTTCAGGACTCCCTCTCTGCTCCAGGGGAGGCTGAACCCCGACTTTGGAGGGGGTCTGAGTCACCTTAAGGGACTCCGTGGTGCTCCCTAGTTCTACACTCATTCTGAACGTGCCGTTTGCTCTCTTAAAGGACCGGAGCAGCGCCGGTGCCGACGACGGGGACGAGGACGAGGACGCGCGGGGACGACTGGCTCCCCTGCGGCGGGACGGCGCGCCCAGGTCAGGGACGCCCCCAGGCGGGGCCAAGGCTCTGGCTCTCCGCCCGGGAGTCGCCCGCGAGCCCGCGACGGCCCGTCTCGAGGTTCCGCCTGCGGCCGC